TACTTTCAATAAGTGGTGGGGGTCATGTCCCCGGCCTCCCCAGCGCAAATGACGACTATGCTTCACATAATCAGATTTGTTAATACATAACCTTTCCCCGCCTGCAGTGGAAACTCTGCAGCTCGAATGAGTTTTGCTTTTCACTTTATATATTTTGAGTGTGAAGCGTCTGTATCCTGTTCATATCTGTTATTTAACACCTTTACATTGCAAGTGTTTCTGCAAAGACTGTAGGCGCTGTTTTCCTCTAAGCGCCTCACCTTCAGGGGGTTTGAACTGCATCGTGGTTTGGGGGGGCTTTTTCCATTTGAACATTTTGCTGAATATATTTGTTTTGTCTCTTTTTGTTTCTTGCAGATTATTCGATGTGTGCAGACCAAGTCTTCCAAACGACGGCAGCAGAAGTGGTGAAGCAGATGAATCCTGAAAATCTGCATTTATTATTTATTTTAAAGGTTTTAAGATGTATACTTTTATATTTGTATTCCCGTTATGCATCCTCAGTCTGCAGAAATGTGTCACCGTGTGGAACAAAAACCACATGTTTTGGTAGAAAGAGGTCGACTTCACCAGAAAACCGACATGAGAGGATGTGAGGCGTATTTAGAGGAACACACACGCACGCACGCACGCACACACACACACACACACACACACACACACACACACACACACACACACACACACACACACACCACACACACACACACACACACACACACACACACACACACACACACACACACACACACACACACACCTCGTTTCACTCTCACTTCCTGTCACGATTTAAAGGAAACGATACCAGTCTGTTATTTCACCAAAAACACAATAAAGAAAGTTTATCAGATTAATATTGTGTTTACATTTAGTTTGGTCTTCACTCTTTGACTTTCAGTGTGATGCAGCACGAGGTGCTTGTTTGAGAAACGAGTTAAAATAAAAAAAAATTACAAGAAACGAAAACTAACCAAATGGTAAGAATATGAAGGACTGCTCTGAATGTAATGTTGAAGAGCTGTGCAGTTTTAAAAGAGGTAGTATTTGGATATTTCAATACATATTTCTATATTTGTATTTTAGGTTTTTATCACACATATTTTTAAACATTTTATAATTTGTTTATAGTATTTTTTTAGATTTATTTTTCAATCAAGAAAAGTAATCCTTTATACATATATATTTTTTTATTTCTCTAAATGTATTATACATGCACCAATCCACCAAAGCTCATGTCTTGTGAGTGAAACCCTGACTCAGACTCTGAATGAAGGGGAAGTGAGCGTGCAGCAGCTTGATCCTGCAGACCTGAACTCACTGAGACCCCCTGCTGCTTCACAGAGTCACACAGGAACAGCTTCACATGGATCACTGCCTGCTGATTATAAAACATGAAGGTCTCTCTGAGAGGAGAGAGCACACAGCGCCACCTGCTGGAGGCTCTGCACACAGCAAGTAGAAACAAGCATGATGTATTCTTAAGAGACAGCGTAAGATGGGGTGACCAGGTGCCAACAAGCCACATGTGGGACAAAGAGGACGCTTTTAAGGGACAATGCGGGATGTGTTACTGCGTTGCTAAGAGCTAGGTTAGATTAATATATAATGTCTATCTAACCCTTAAGAATAAACATTTCTATTAAACTATTAGCTTATAAATAATAACAACGCTTTACTTTGGTTTAATGTTTGCACAAACTATGCAAGTAAAGGAATTAATTATATTTGTTTTGAATGGAATTAACATAACAAACTATTATGACCAGAAAGAAATGACTGGAGCTAGTTCACAGTCTGCTGACCTGTTTAACGTTCATTAAATCAGCTGCTGGTCCCTCATCTCTTCTGGTTTCAGGAGGAATGTATCCATAGATCCATATTTTCTTTATGAGCCAGGCGTTTCTTGAGAGTTTCTGTGCAGTGTCACTTCAAAACATATTCACCTCCGTGCACAATTTAAAAAAGAAATCTGGCAAATCTGACAATAACTCTCTGGGAATCTCCCTCCACCGGCTACACCCATAAATACATTTCTCAGTTGATTGATTGACATCTGACTCAGCTAATGGTGATAGCTCTCTCTCGTTTTCCACACACCTTTGGATAAAAGGTTTATTAAAAGTTTAAGGCGGGCGACTGTCAATCAAATGCGGGACATCGGCAAAATGTGTGGGACAAATGATAAGAATGCTGTGCAGTCCGTACAAAGCGGGACACCTGGTCACCTAATAGGTAAGATAAGGTAAGGTAAGATAAGGTAAGGTAAGGTAAGATAAGGTAAGGTCAGATAAGGTAAGGTAAGGTAAGATAAGGTAAGGTAAGGTAAGATAAGGTAAGGTCAGATAAGGTAAGGTAAGGTAAGATAAGGTAAGGTCAGATAAGGTAAGGTAAGGTCAGATAAGGTAAGGTAAGCAAGGAAACTTCATCTTACAATTCTGCGGATGTCCTCCAGCATGTTGCGTTGATCGTTAGCCTCACCTGTGTTACTGGTTAAACTATCAGTCGTCTTGTTCACCTTTGGAGGCATGCTAGCTGCACATATATCCCAACAGCAGATACCAAATAGCTTTAATCTGAAGCTTTAATCAATCAAGTTTTGGTCGAGTTAGAAAATAAAATTGCAGAATGTTAATGGATTTATTATCAAGTCTCAGCCCCTAGCGGTCTCTCAAAATCACAACATGTTGACTTTTTCGAACTTTATTTAAAATCTCAAAATTCTGACTTTTTTCCACAAATCTCAGTATTTAAAAATCACAGAATTCTGACTTGTTTGGAAAATATCTAAATACAGACTTTTTTCTGAAAATCCCAAATCCAGTAGAAATTCAGAGGGCAGTCCTCATAGGGGGCCGGGTATGAAATCAACTGCCCTCTTCAGTTGGTACACAACATTCAAACTGTGGGGCATCAGCCGTGAATAAATCCTTATATCGGCTCTCTTCACTCCATTAGAGAGATCTCTCTTCCAATAAAAGCACTTTAGTTCATGTTCAATCAATAATAACATGTCATGTTTGTACATCTATCTACAATTAATCCTACCAGTCTAGTTGGGATCCGGGTTAGGAGGGTCTCGAAAATATTTCCTATTACCCAAGGGGGGCCTGACTGAAAAAGTTTGGTACCACTGCCTTAGGGTTAGGCCCCGGCCCCACGGGAACGCATACGGCAAAACGCATAGGATTAACGCAAACGCAATCGCCAAAAAGCTTCCGTCCACACGCAATATACACCGGATGGAGGGGGTCGGTGTGTAGCAGGCTGCAGCAGGCAGCAGCAGTCTGCACTCTTCCTCCAAGTTTACAGTAAAACAAACTGGTGGTGTGACCAATGGCCATTTACAATTATTAATACTATTACTATTAGCATTAGTCTATATTTTGGTTGAAACTAAGCCAGAAAAAAGAAAAGAAAAACATAAATAATAATAAAAATATATATAAATAAAATCGAATTTTAAAAATAATTTTCGATTATGGAGACTGTAACGAATATTCGAAAAATCGAATAATCGCTGGCATCCCTAATGCTGACTCTATCAAAGAGACGTTTTTCTTTTGCAAAGAAATGGAAAGCCATACTACGGGAGAAGAAATATTCAGGGTAACTAATAACTATTTAAAAGAGAACAGTCTGACCTGGAATATGTGCGTCAGTCTTTGCACAGATGGTGCGGCAAGCATGACGGGGAGAGTGAAAGGATGTATTGCTAAGGTGAGAGCACAAAACCCACATATCGTCACAAACCACTGCATTTTGCATAGAGAGGCATTAGTTGCCAAAACCATGCCCCCGGAGTTGACTGAGGTGCTGAATCAGGCTGTGCAGATGGTGAATTACATCAAATCAAGGCCCCTGAAATCTCGCCTCTTCTCCCAGCTGTGCGCCGAGATGGGAGCCGACCACCAAAGCCTGATCCTCCACAATTTTTTATTTTGTGACCTGACTGGTTTAAATGAGTGTGTTGCTGCTTTGATGAAGCCTAATTTGATAAAGTTTCAAATTAATTTCCGAAATATTTCGTTAATAAATATTTCATGAGTAATATAGTTGTCTTTGTCACATTTTATTTGGCATTAGTAAATAATTATGCACATTTACAGATATTTTACATGATATGAGTGATAACACGTGTTTTAGGGCTATTTTGCACAATAGGTGTGCCTTGAGATTTTTACTTGTCCTTTGGTGTGCCTTGGGCACAAAAAGTTTGGGAACCACTGAGTTAGAGGACGCACTTTGATTATCAGGGGGGGGGGGTCACTCCTGCAGAGAACACAGAGACACTGAGGAACCATACTCAAACCCAAACCCAAACCCAAACCCAGCATAGAGAGGTTCAGTGAATGTGGTTCTGAAGGTGTGGAGGTGGGTCAGTGTGTCAGAGGAGACTCTGTAGAAGGAGAGAGAGCCAGCAGGATGATCCAGATACACTGCTACTCTACCAGAGGAGGAGGAGGAGGAGGAGGAGGAGGAGGAGGAGGAGGAGGAGGAGGAGGAGGAGGGGGAGGAGGGGGAGGGGATGTGTGTTGTTCTCTTATTGTGCCAGACAGAGTAACCACCACCAGAGCAGCTCAGACTCCAGGACTGATCATTCTCTCCAAACCCACAGTCTTTACTCTCTCCTCTCCTCCTGATTCCTCTGTAAGTCACTGATATTTGAACCGCTCCGCTCCACTTGACCTCCCAGTAACAGCGACCAATCAGAGCTTCTCTGCACATCAGCTGATACCAGGAGTCAAACCTCTCTGGATGATCAGGATAGTTCTGCTTCTCTCCCACCCATGTCACCTTCCTGTTGTTTTCAAACAGATTGAGGAATCTGTTCACTGTGTTTGAGTTCAGTGTGAGTCCACAGGAATCTGATGAGAGACACAGCAGGTATTAAAGGTTACTAAAGTACCTGTGATGTCCCAGTGTGAAGATGTTCATGATGAAAAACACACTTACACTTCCTGAGACCTGGCCTCAAGAACCGGACTGCAGCAGGCTCCAGGCTGAAAGCAGGGGGGGGGGTCAGTTAGTCTTTAAATGGTCTTATATGTCCACCTCAGTCTGCCTCCAGAAACATCTACAAACACTGAGGTGTCTCTTTTGTGATGTCTATGATCTCCTCTCCAGGTGTTGATCAGGTGAGGGCATGCTTCCTGTGTGCAGCGTTTGTGAGCATCAGGAAATATGGGTTTCTCTTTGGTTCACTGTGCGCTTCATATTTATCTTTTGTCTTGATTTTTGATTCCTGAATCTTTTTTATTACTTTTCAGTTTTTGTAGTTGTTTAAGCCTGGATTTAATTTACAGTGTGGGGGGGGGGGGGGGGGGGGGGGGGGGGGGGCTGCTGATGTAAAGATGATTATTGGAGTTGTCTATGAGAATTCAGCAACTAACCAGTGTTGGGGTAGTCACTCAAAGAAGGTAATGCATGTATTTACTTGTTACTCACTGCTGAAAGTAATTAGTTACACTACTAGTTACTTTACTTTTGGATTGCTCTTTAACATCACCTCAGATGCACCATCAATCAAATGAAAATGAACAATATAAAGTTAAACCTCATCAGATCAGAACAAATCCTTAATCTCATAAGGACACTACTGAACTCAGACCTCTGTTTCTGCTCTTTGTTTGAACATCATGTTTTCTTTAGCTCAGTTTCCATCATAACTCTGCTCCAGGTAGTTTGCAAGAGTTTTCCTGTCTTATGGCGGCCGCCTGTTATGTATTTCTGGCTCAATATGTTTTTAGAAAGATGGTGATTCCACCGTGGAAATCGTGGATGTATTAATGAAACGGGCAACATGTCCTCCACGATCAGGGCCGGTTCTAGCCAATTTGCTGCCCTAGGCAAGATTTTTGCTGATGAACTTGTAACCGGGGTGAAAAGGGTGTTCCATTTACTTAATTATGAATGTTGTTACATCAAGGCCGAAAATTAGGATGAGCACCAATGGTCAAAAATGTTTTTTTCCCTCCCAGAGCTACCAGCGCAGCGCCCCCCAGATCTGGCGCTCTATGCGACCGCCTATGTCGCCTATGCCAAAAACCGGCCCTGTCGACGATGTTTGCTATGACTCTGACATTTCTGCTCCGTCTCCTCATCCATGACCTCTGAGCGTGAGGAAAAAAATCGAAGAGCTTAACGTAACGCAGGTAACGAGATAATTTAGTGCTTAGTATCAATAAAGTACTATCTTATTTTATCTTATCTAATGTAATCTGATTAGTGTAAAGGCCCGGACACACCAGGCCGATTTCGGCCGTCGATAGATGTTGATAGATGTCTGGCCGTCGATGAGCGTCCTGTCGCCCTACTCAGATTAGTGTGTTCCGCACCGCGGTGTCTTTTCGGCCGTGCCGACACCTTCACTCTGATTGTCTGTTCAGCTTAGCGAATCAGTGCATGAGAAGCGAAGCGGAAGTGGGGGACCCAAACAAACGATTAATAATGCACACACAGACGGCTATTCTTTTTCATTTTCTAATTGTTCGCTTCCGCCTCTTGCTATCTGCTACCACAAGCAACAGTCCAAGGGCTGATACCGCCAGTACCGCACTGAACATGTTTTCGATGGATGAGAGTGAAAATGCAACGCACACGCTATTTGTTGTTTGTTTATATCACGCAGTCTGTTCTTCTTCTCTCGGTGTATCACGCAGTCTGTCTTCCGGTTGTTGCATCTTTTGAATGACTTCCGCCGCCTGGTGGTAAGGAGAGTTATTGCCACTCACGCATGCGCAGTGCGTACGTGCTACTTGGCTGTCGGCTGAAGTCTTTGCGGTGTGTTCCAGTGCGACTGTTGGCAGGAGACGTGAGGCGACACAACAGTAGTGTTCCGTCGGGACGTGTTCTTTGGTGTCAGCTTGGTGTGTCTGGGCCTTAACACGTTACCCCCAACACTGAAACTTATAAATCATTATTTTCATTCCAGGTAGTGTTAATTTTGTCAGCTATTTTTTTATTTAGTCTTACGGAGCGTCCACACAGCAGCGTATCTGAAGCTTGGGGATTTTTTTTGCGAGCAAGGCACCAACAACCAATCACATGAATCTCCCGCCCCCGACATACGAAGCAAAAAAGCCCGAAGTAAACTGGATATAACTCCCCAAACAGGCGAAAACCTACCACTGTCTCTGCCACCTCCCTCCATGCCTGGCTCCTCCGGTTTGTATCCCGGTAGGTAAATAGGGACTGGTCATAAAGCACCGGGTGATTCCCTACCGCTAATTTCTCCTCCATTTTTTGGAATATGAGGAAATGACCTGCAGTATGTCTCTCCCAGCACACACGCGGTTTGATTGGCTAGTGCTTGAACTGTCAGATTTGCATACACGGGATTTGATTGGCTGACGCTTCCACCTCAGCTTCAAAAGTTGAACAATGCTCAACTTTGAATCCTGAAAATCCTGAAAATCTCCGCTCTGCTGCCCACAATGCAGTTCGGCGAAAAGTGAGGCAAAGTAACGTCACCCCATTCAAAGTGAATGGGCAGAAGCGTTCCAAGATTTTTTTAACGCTGCTGTGTGGACGCTCCGTTAGTCCTGTGTCAAATGTCCTTGTTAGTTTTAGTCATATTTAGTCACCTTCATCCTGTTTTTATTTAGTCAAGTTTTAGTCGACTAAAAGTCTGAGCATTTTAGTCTTATTTTAGTCAAAGAAAACTAACCATTTTAGTCTACTTTTTGTCAATGAAAACTGTTGACATTTGAGTATTTTTTAGTCATCAGATTATATAGAACATTTCAGTCAAACTAGTCTAGCCAAAACCAATAATTTGTCATTTTAGTCAAACTTATTTCACAATAAGATATATCTTATCCTTATTTGATGAAAAACATAGGTTGAATGATTGAGAATGCAGCTTTGCAGAGAGTATCTGGTCAGGTTTGTGGTGTTTTTTACCAGCTGTTTTATGGCCACATTACTTCCCTTCTGATAAAACAATGCATTCGCTTTTTTTCTCCGCCTCATTGTAGCGAAAATGGGCCCAAATATTGCCTTGTTTCTTTCTCCCAAGCAGTGGTGGCGTTAGACTTTTTCGTTGTCAGTCATTTTGACGGACAGGATCGTAACATTTCCGTCATAATCCATTATTACCCGTCGGGTCTGTACACAACTCGTCACTCACTCGCGCTGACGCGGGGGATATTCGGTTAACGCGACCACTACTCCCAAGCCCTGTTGTTGCCATTTTATTTTCTGTTAAATAAGGTTTGTTAGATCTGAGTCTTCCTGACAGTTCATAGTGTGCCGCTGGCCCGGTGTAATTCAAATGTACCACAGCGCGCAGCACAGACACACAACTGCTGCCCAGCCGCAGCACCGGATATGGAACTGCTGGGAGAAAAACTGACTATCAGAGATGTAACGTTATCTTTGATAATATTTCGTCTCCTCCTTTTTCGTCAACGAAAGTAAAGAGAGATTTTGGCAGCGTTTTTATTTAGTAAACTACATTTTGGTCTCGTAATTTTCCGTCAACGATTTCGTCACAGTTATTGTTTACTGACGTCGGTGCTGTCTCGTCTTCGTCTCATCTTAGTCATGGAAAAAAATGGTAGTTGACGAACATATTTCGTCATAGTTTGAGTCAACGAAATGAATACTAATTCCAGGGGAGGTTCTTCTGATTGGCCGTTTGCTAGGACTCAAAATAAAAACATCTGGAAATAAATCAGTTTATTTATTCATGATGTCATTTCCTGTGCTAAATCTGTGTGAACATTACAAAAAAACACACTGTTTCTGTTGGTCGTTCCACGATGAACACTGAGGGGGGGTTTCCACTCAGTTGTGGAACATTTGTGTTTGATGCTTACAGCTGACGGCAGACAGTGTGAAGAGTCAGGGTCTATCAGCTCTGGTTAGTAGTTATACTGATCCTGTTTCAATCACATTAGTATGCATAAAAAGTGACAGGTCACATCCCCCCACTACTTATGCAAATGACCTCCTTTGATATGCTAATGACCCCTTTTGTTCGAGGTGTTATCGCGTGTAGGTGTGATATCACAGATAGGTGTGATATCCTTTGATGTGAGGGGGGTGAGGTTTTGTAACATGTAGGTGTGATATCACACTGGCATGTTATAAGCCTTTGATGTCAATCTAATTACCCTCTGAAGTCTGTCCTTTGATCAGTGTTTGTAACTAGTGTTAATTAAGGCAGTCTCTTTGAAGTTGTCTGTCTCGCACCCCGTCCCCCTCTCAGTCACCCCCCTTCCTTTTGCTGTGATGCCAGAAGATAGTGAGGGGTGGAGTTAGGTAAAAAAAGAAATCCGTGCAAACTAGATAAAAAGCCAGTCATTTCCACTCACCAAGTCACCTAAACTTTTAAAAAATACCTAATGTTTAATTACTTTATTAACTACAAGGGACTCTCTTTTTGAAAGAGGGTAATAATAATAAAAAAAGAGGTTAATCACCCCCTGATATTGTATTTGTAATGTTTAGTTACTTCACACAACTTGAAGCCCCTATGAAGTTGTTGTTAACTAAGGATGTTCTTTTGAAATTGTAGGGCTAGTGAACTGGATGCTCTCTTAAGCTGTATGGCTTGTGAACTAATGTTTAATTACTTTATTAACTACAACGAAGTCTCTCTGAAGAGGGTAATAATAATTTAAAGATCTTAATGACCCCATGGTATTGTCTTTTTATTGTTTAATTACTTTATTAACTATAAGGAAGATTTACTGGTGTGCTTCCCTAGATGATGTAAATAGTCTAAGTGTCATGTTAGGGGGACATTACGGAACTCAGGAGTCCGCCCTTGGAGGCTTGGAGAGCGGATAAAGAGAGGTGTATTTACTGGTGTTGAGCCCTGGATGATGTAAATAGTCCAAGTGCCATGGTAGGGGGACATTACGGAACTCAGGAGTCCGCCCTTTGAGGCGTTGTTAACATTAATGCTTTTTGCTTTTGTTTTTGTTACTAAGATACTTTTTAGATACACTTTTGAAGTGAGCAACACTTTACAACTGGTAGAAAGTTAAGTACT